TTTGTAAAATCTTTAACCTATTGTTCTTTGTCTCTTTCTGGCCTGTAACCAGAAACTGTAGTATTAAAGTATTTCAGAAAAAGTAAAATAAGTAACAAAATGATATTTACAACTATACATTTTTGTATCTTTAACTCTTAAAGAATCTATGGCTTGCGTTGAAAGAATGTATATATTAAACTAGTTTTATTAATGGCATGTATCAAAATAATATTTCTAATTAATAATGAGCTTATGAAATTAATATATTTTTTCCAAAACAAATCTTTCTTTTTAGTTTTAAATTGGACACTCTCCTCTAAATAAATTGAATTAATATCTGTAAAATACACAAAGTAGTTAGAGATCATTTCCATTTTGAATTGATTGGAATTTCAGCTGCTGCAACCATTCGAATGTTACGGGGGAAATTTCTATCCCGCGCATATGTCCAACTTATCTGAGCCCATCCCCAAACTGCCTGAATCCTCAAATTCGACGCTTTGCAACGTAGTCTTATATCTTGGCGCTGAACTGTCAGCCTATGCAACCCTTGTTGCAAACTGGGTGTCCAACTGTCAAATATAAAGCAGAGTTTGAAAGCTCGTTCACTCCTCTTTCTATGAGTATCCCTCTTCCAGTGTTTCCTATGCACTATGTGTTCCTGCATGTATAATTTCTACACTATTCCTTGTCTAATATTCAGCGAAGAAAGATTTCTCTACGTTTATCTTCTGAGATCTCATTAATATTGGCGAGAATCTCTTTTACTATGCATCAAATGCGCCAAATGGAAAGAAATCAATCTTGATTAATTTTCTTCTTTGTTACTTGAACGGTAGTCATATTAATTAATTCCAAAGGAAAAATTTTCAGACATTAAAAGATTCATTGATTGATATATTTAAAGTTCTTTTGATGTGATCTATCTTTTTAAATTATTTATATTATTTTTGTGTTTTGAATTTGAATGCAGCCAAACGTGGGTTTCCAGAATAGGAAATTGAAAACCAAAATTTTCTAGAATGTTGTTAATTTAGGAATTTAAAAAAAAATATCGATTTGACATAAATGGGAGAGCCTGATATTAATAAAAGTATCAAACATAAGAAAAATAGATTTCGCGTTAAATTAATCTCACAATTTTAATTTCAAATTATTTTAAATATCAAAAAATACAATTAAAGATTTGGTTGCAAAAATTGGAGTTTAAATTAGTTTTATAAATAATAGTCAAAAATATTAATGCTTTAAGATAAATAATTTCAAGTATTCAAGTTGGAAAAGATAACTGTGTTGAATGTAAAACAATTTAATATTTTTACAATAAAAATCAAACAATTATTTGTAATTTATAACTGTAGTTGCAATATTTAATCAATTAACTCTATGTAAATATTTATTCCTTGTCATTAATTAATGTATACTACTGGTTAGAAAAGCTTTGAAATTTTAAATTGAAGTTGATCAATTTAAAGTGATTTTATTTTTTGATGTGTTATCGAGTACTTTTTTTCCCAAATTTTTCATTGAAGTAAATAACTTCTTGAATTGTTTCACAAATAGTTTGTATTGCTGCTTATTAATTTTTGCGCAAAATATTCTTGCGATAAATAATAAGTTATTCAACTAATAGTTTTTAATATTTAATTGACTATTCGAATCCATGTTTCTATTTATTTTTGATTTAATGCTTCATGCAGATAATGTAAAAAAAATATTGACGCAAACAGTGGGATGAAGATTATTGACCTTTGCCAAGAACAAAGTTGTTATTGAAGTATCACGCGTGATTTCAATTTCATTATTTACCAATAGTAACTTCAAAATCAATAACCCATTTCAACAAAGTAACGCAAGTATTGGTCACATATCAGATTTCTTTTTCGATGCTTGAATACGTCACACCAGTTTGGAAAGTTATCTTGTTTGTGAATAGACACACAAAAGAGGGTTAATTTCTCCAATTTAAACAGTCACAGGAAGAAAAAAAAATATTCTGAGATCAATCTGTCGTAATCAGAAACTGGTCACATCGAAACACTAATCATTTCGAAATAAACCGGTATAGGACAAGAATAATCCACTCTTTCAGAAGGCAGGGAATAGATCATGGCAATCCATCTACTTGCGAATGGGAGGGGTCATTGAAAATAATGTGAGTGATGAACGGGCCAGCAGAGCCTTGCTGTCAGTGTCCCGCGGTGTAACACAAGAAGCAGAAATTTGTCCCCTAGCCATCCCAACATGCACTGGGAACCTGTTTCAAGCCGTCAACCCACTAGATTAAAAATGCGCGACATTAGGCCGTCCCGTGTTCCACTGCGTTCTTCTAGAATAATAATATTAAAAAAAAAAAAAAAAAAAAAGCCTCACACGATATGAACCCCTGTCTTCTCTATTGCCTTTGATTTAAATAATGCGGAAGAACTGTTTGGTTTTACGTTATTTATACTACTAGTTTCGAAATCACTCTACAGCTAATATACGATGTTTGGAATATGGACTTTAGTAAGCATATATCATCGTGATGTTTAATGTATTTAAAGTTTTTATGCGCTGTTATTAAAGAATCAGAGAATTTGACTTGTTTGTTTGAATAGAAAAACTTGTTTATTTCCTAAATACGGAAGTTTTTTTTTAATAGCAGAATAATTATTTTAATTTCTACTTTAAAGGAGTAATACTTTATTTAAAGTAACGCGACAACAATCATTATATTCGACTGAAATTTCTTTGAAAAAGCTATGCAAATGAAATGAAGGCTAAATCAATATTCATATCCTCAATATTTTATTAATCCACAGTGATTTCAATTTTATAAATAATTTTAAAGTACTTAAAAGTGTTGTCTAAGCAAAAATTTTTTCATTTTTTGGAAGAATTTTTTTTCACATGTTACAGACGATTTGTTGTTTTGGACACATGTTTCCCACGTCTTTAAAGCTTTAGTGATCGCATTGTGCTCGTCATTGCTTCAACACTTTCACCGAGGAATACGATTTTGTTAAACAAAGCGTTTGAGAAGATGTGAGAAAAACGTCGAGGCGTTAAATAGTGTTCAGCTATTTCCCATTCATTTATGGTGCCTGACGCGTAGTAGCAATTGAGTGAGCTTGAACTATGAAAAGGAACCAATCGCTTTAAAAATGCAATGACTGTGTCGATGAGTTATAATTCCCTAAGAAAAAAGATGAGAAAACAAAATGCTTATCTGAAAGTGACGAATCGAGTTGAAAATTGTTGGTGCAAAAATCTTTTGACATTTCCGCTTTTTCTTTTACATTTTCCTGACATAAAAATAGCGCCAGCATTTATAAGTAATTTCCTTGAGACAAAGTAACTAATTTTTATCACGCAAAAGGCAAACAAGACTAATAGAAAAAACTGAAGACCGTTATAGACGAAGTTGTTAATATAGATTCACGAGAATTGTATCAAATTGCTCAATCTCAGCTGTCGTTGCCAGGTTTATGCTTTGGGCTGAATTGGGAAAATTCATTTTTAGCTTTATTGTTCTGATTTGTAGTGAAATTACCTTATTTTAACAGCTTAACGTAATTGTAGTTTAGGGTCATAAAATGTTTTTCATTCGTTTGATTGTTCAATATCAATCTGACAATAGAATCATAAATCTTATTAAAAGGTATTTTATTATCCAACTATTGACTATTAAATAATTTTCTTTATTAGTTACATTTAAGAAAATAAATATTTTTTTACGCAAATTAATTGTGCTCTTATTTTTCGATTTCTTCTCTCCACGTAAAAAATTATTTTTATAAGACAAACTAATTTAAGTATTGATCTAAAATCTTTTATTTAATCTTCATAATTTTTTTTCAATTAAATAATCATTTAACAAGTGAAATTAACTAAATTAAATGGAAACAAAATAGCAATACATTTAAGTTATGGTACTTATTTACGTTTTCTCACGAAATGCTGATTGTTGTTATATTAATTCGTTAGTGTGGTAACAAGCATATTTCTGTTTTGTTAGTGAGGTGTAGACAAGATATATAGCTATAAGTGTAAAAATATAATAAGTTTATATAGCTCAGCGAAAGTTGATGTTGATTTTTAGCAATGAACATCAGAGATTTTTCAAAAATAATAATGAACAAATAATAAAAAAAAAATATAGAACAAGCAATCCAGAATACTAAAACATAGTATTCATTCTTGAGAAAGAGCCAGATTTTTTTTATCGATAAATTAATAATATGAAATTTTTTCTGATAAAAAGTGGAAAGTTGGAATTTTGAAAAGTGGAATTTTAAAACCTTTTACTTAACTATTTTAATCGAAGGCAATGGAGATTTTCAATAATCCAGAGAATAGATGCTTTTTTCTTTTTTCGTACTCTTTAATTTCATATTTAATTTTCATTTTTTTATCCTTCAGTGTATGAAAGCACTACTTCGCTTCATATATCGAAACTTTTTGAATGAATCAAATGATTTGAGGAATTCACAATGAATCATATCCAGGTAAATTTTAAATAATTATAATAAATTTAACAATTTTATAATAACACAAAAACCATAACTGAATAATCTGATCAGTTATTCTGTATTAGCGCACAGAATTCGAATCCTGCTCTATCAGTTAAATATCATTTAAATAAGTTAAATCAGTTAAATATTGTTCAAGTAAATTAAGTAAAATCACTTAAATATAATTAAAACCTAATTTAAATAATTTATCTATTTGCTATTTTTTCAAACTATTCGTACCAGAATTTTGGGTTTTAATTATGGCTCATTTAGTGTCAGAGAAACATTTAAATGGGAGAAATTTGCTATGCATAAATAATCCCATTTTCATCAAATCTATCCTTCATTGAGCAACATGCAAAAAAAAAAATTATTTGATCAAAAAATTATCTGGTTTACTTATTTTATCTTCATTTCAAAGTTACTTAGCTTCCTTTAAAAAAAATAAAAATACATATATTTTTACTTTTTAAACCAAAACAAATGATTCTACAAAATCTAATGAGTGTTTTTTTATTATAGGTTAAAATATGGTTTCAAAATCGTCGATCCAAGTACAAGAAAATGTTGAAAGCTCAACAAAATCAGCAAAACAGTCAGCAACCTAACCAACAAACACCGGGAAGTACACCGAATATGCAGCAGCCGCCGAACCCCGCATCAACGCCGCATACTCCTCCCGAGTCCCATGATGCTCACAGCCCGCCATCAGTGGGCATCCTGCCACCGAACCCTTCGGCCCAAGGCATGCCGAATGCTACCGTCAGCCCTCCGGCCATGAGCCCGCCTATCTCCTCATGGGACATGGCTTCGTCCAAAGCAGCAACAATGAACGTTACGAACACCTATATGCCACAATATTCGTGGTATCATAATACGGACCCTTCTATGAGTCAACAAATTCTTACTTAATCACCTGTTTTTTTAAATAAAAAAATGAAAAAAAAACAAAGAATTGATATCAACAATGCCTCCCCTGTCCCCCCAGTAAAATTGTCATCCTGTATTTGTATGGATGGAGTGATATTCTTCTTTGATTTATCTGGGAAAAGGTAACCGAAAAGCTTTTTTCCAGTTAAATAGTCGTATCATTACCACATAAAAAGTTACCCATCTTTATTTAATTAAAAATGGTGCGATGTTTAACTAAATATAAGGAAAAATGTTGGAGATTTGCCAGTATTAACTTAAATTTCCTTTTATTTTGTGTGCACAGAAGAAAAAAAAAAGTGTGCAAAAGTCTGTTTTTCTCATGGAATTGGGGAAAATAAGTATATGTGATCGTGTGTGGTTTGTCAAAAGAAGTTGATGCCTCATAAAAAGAATGAAGATATACGAAAATCATACAAACGCGTACAAATATTTGCAAACAATTACTCCTTGCAAAAGCCATGACTGTGAACCAAGCCATGACTTCATCGTCCATTGCCATCTCACGGGGGGCTGGATTGGCCAGTAACTTCGTTTATTCTTTTTAACCGTCACATTGGAGCCAAATACGTAAACATTGTTTTTATTATGTTATTCATAAGTGTTTCAATTTTGTTTTCATTCCTTTATCGGATCGATATTTCATTAGGCAGGTTGATGAGATTCGAACATTTATTTGTTCGAGAAGGGTGGGTAAGTTGATTTATTGTAAATTCCAGAAAAAATGAATCAATTTGAATGGAATAAATATAAAATAGTAAAAAGACAATTTATACACTATTTTTAACATTGAGACGACGTAATGTTACTGATAATTGCTATATTGCTTAAATTTATCTGAAATAATTTAATATTTTTTTTAATGTACTATTTAAATTATTACTTAAGTTCTAAACATATGAAGATTAGACTTAAGCTAAATCTGATTATTAATGACCTGATGAGAGAAGTTTATTTAAATACAGCTTAATTCTCTTAAATGGCACTATTTGACTTTAAAATGCAATATTTTTGAAATAATCTCTAAAAATTTAAAACAGTTTTATTACATTAAAAGAATTGCTTTTATTCAAAGTAATATCCACTTCTGTGCAAAGTGATGCTGCAAATTTTATTAAAAAAAGTATGTATCAATTGATGTTATATATGGAGTTTATAAAAAAAAAAGTGATTTTGTAATGTGTTGTAATTAAATCTCATGTCAAGTGGAATTTTCCGATGGTTTTATAAATATCAAAAAAAAAATTCTGATTTCAAATTTGAAATGAATGTAAATAAGAAATCAGTCTGTACATATCAATTGTAAAATTCAGAAATTACTCAAATATCAGTAATAAACGTCTTATGGAAAACTTTTGTTTTGAAATTGATCTTTTCTCTGCCTCATAATAGATTTTAATTAATTTTTTAATTGATGATAATTTGACATAAAAATGTAGCAAATTTCTGGAGTGATATTGCAACCATTCTCACTTGTGCATTCGATTTCCTTTAAATATGTTATAGACAGTTAGAATATTTAATTTGTGAATTCAAATTTACATCGGAAATATACTGACTACACAAATTATCAGATATTAGTTAAAATATTAAGTTTCAATGAAAGAATATTTGTTTTATAAATTGAGTACAATACATAAAAAGCTTGTTAAAAGGGCTATGAATGGATAATTTGAAATAGCACATTGCGTGGCTGACAATAAGTAATTAATTTTCTTTTGTGTCTCTTAAATTTCAATACATTTTTGCTGCACTCAAACCCATTTAAATCCTATAAGTTTAGAATCAGTAAAATGTATTATTTCAAAGAAAAAAAATAAAATGAAATTTTTTTGCATCCGTATGAAACATGCAAATTATGAATATTTCATGCATCTTTAAAAACAGGATGATGAAAACTAAATTATGGAAAAAAAAGTTTTTGTGATAATTTTCCCTTAATAATTTGTATGTTTAATTTTAAATATAATAGTCAATCAAATAACACATTTATAGATTCGTTATTAATGTTTACATCCGTTTAATTTACATTTAAAAGTTTTTCGCATGTTAAAGATAATGTTACGGCATTAATAAAGACGGTTGTACATGGTATAAAAACGAATATGTACTCATAATTTTGATTTTTTTCTCCCTTTGTGTGTATGGAAGCATATTAAGTTTTGAATGCCCTTGATATCATATAAAGTAATAAAGATTTTAACATAAATTTATTAGAAAATCAAAGCTTTTTTTTTCTTATGCATTTTTCTAGAATCAGACAAAACTTAATTCAGACTCTGATAAAACTGAACTCTGTAATTTAACTCATAGAAATTTTAATGCTATAAGTCATATTTAAAATGTAACTTCGGTTTACTTTAAAGAAAATTGTAATTTTCGTTTACATCGTATGGGTGTTTTTCTTAAAAAACTAAATTCCGATACAATTTTGAGAAGGAAAAAAATTTTAGTGATGTTTTTATTAGTTTTCCGCAATTCAGTTTTAAGTGCAGTTGTTTTATGCGAGAACAACCAATAAAATCAGTATTACAAAATGTTAAAAACTTACTCTCGAAATTGTTTTCCAAAATTATTGCTTGAAGTATTCTTAATTTATGAAAATGGTTAAAAGGAAAAGGGTTTGAATATATTTATCTTAACTTGATGACTTAGAGACCAACATTTTACATTATATTGATGTTTTCTGTTCTTGATTTGTTCCTCAGTTATTATAGAAGAAGCTATGCAGATTTGCCATAAATATGTGTCCACATAAAGTAAATAAAAATTATTTCAATTCTGATTTATTAAAAATTCCTTTATTTTTCTTTCAGATCGAAATTAAAAGACACTTCATTAATATAATAACCCATTTAGTATATCTTGCATATTTTTTTTCGTTCTGGCTTTCTCTCTCTTTCTCTATCCCTCTGTTTCACAATTTCTTCCAGATTCCCTTCCAAATTTAAGCTAAAGTTCTCAATTTTAATTCTTAAACATTCTTTGGATGGTTTAGGAAATTTTTTAATAAAGCCAAGAACCAATTTAATGAGTCTAAGAACCTGTACATTGATTTTTTGAAATCATCTATGCATGTACAAAAACAAATAAATAAATAAAAAATTGATGCAGTTTTGAAAAGTTGATTAAATTCATAAATTGATACAGTTTAAATTTTCTGCATACAGTAATAGTTTTTGATACTAAAACAATTTTCTTTAAATTATTCACATAATTCAAATATTAAAAACGAAATCAGTTCGAAATTTCAAAATTAAAAATAAATTAGTTGGTATCCTGCAATTTAAGAGCCCTGCAGCGCATCTCTATTTATTTTCCAAAATCACCATAAGGTGCTCAATCATTTACTATTAAATTGATATTGAATAAAATTGTACAAACAGAAAAAAATTTTGTGTATGGATTCTTACCGAATATAATGGATAACTCAAGGTAAGAAATTATTTTTGTATTGAAGTCAAAAAGTCATTTGTTGGTTTCTGGTAGGTACTATTTATGTATTCAATATATTAAATTGTTGTTTGGAAAGGAAAATCATTTTTAATTTTATTATGCTTGCAAACTTAATAAATCACAAATTTTAATAAATCACAATGTTAAAAATGTTCTAGCTACCTGTAATTAATTTTAATTCAAGTAAAATTTACAAGATTACATCATTCTTGACTATTAAAATACTCAGAAAATAGTAATTAATAAGTCAAATTTATCACCTTAATTATTTTCAAATAAATTTTTATTTAGAAACAAATTTGATTTAAGTGCTAACTCTATGAAAAAACTAAATTATGAAATTTTGCTTGATTGTAGTTTTCTAAAGAGAAAGATTATGCCTTTCACGAGTATGTGACTTTTTTTATATCAAGCAAACGCACTTTATTAATACAGATTATTTTAATTACTGCATTTTATATTATGCTTGCATATTTACTAATAAAAGCATACGTTCTTTTTTAATATTTTTATTTTGTTACTTTATTTTACTATTTATGAGTCAAAAGTTTTAAAATTATGAATTTATGATATTAAATACAGTAAGAATGCTTAAGTTGGATATTTAGTTTGTTAGTTCATATTTTATTCATTATCTAGAAAGTTAAAAAAAAATCACAGTATTTTAAAACTAATGAGACATGTATCAATATTTCGACTTCAGCTATGTTAAAAATGTTAACCATTAAATTTTGTTAACCATTTTTACGAACAGAAAACGCATACTTTTAATTCGTAGGTACCTTTAGTGCCATGAGATTTAAATGTTCCACGTACATTTAGTGCCCAAAAATCTTTTTTTAAAGATTTCTTAAAGCAATTTCATAGTAGTTTGGTTTTCCAAATTTTTCGAATAAAATTGGATTATAAATTGCAATAGACTAATAGCTTTTAGAAGCTCAAGGAACAATCAATATTATAAAAAGGGAATTTAATTTTTTTAAAGCAATCTATGAAATATGTTTTACTTTACGTGAAATATATCTTTAAATTGTATCAATTTAAGATAATAAATTTTGCGTTTGGAGAAAATTCAGAATTTCAGAATAACTGCATATAATTTGCATTGTAATGATATATGCTGGTATTTTAGTTTAAAATAAAACGGTCTTATTTTGTTAAGAGATAAAAAGTTTTAAGTAAATAAACAATATATAGTTTAAGTAAGTAGACAAAAAGGTATAATAACGAATGAAAAAAAAAATAACAGAAGAAAACAGAAATTACCTATATATGATTTCAGTTTGCATATTAGATTCTTCGATAGATAAAGAAGAGTTCTTTTTCTTATTTTTTTGAAGAAAAAAAAGATTATTTTAGTTAGGAATGATGACAACTTAATTTTCAAAAAATATTTAATATGAAAGTAAATTTTACACTCAGCATTAAACCAAGTTCAATATTATTAGATTTAGAAATTTCAGACGATAGACAAAATCAAAAATATTTTAATATATTTTACCTTGTAACAGTATATCCTATACACTTATAATTGGCAGACGAGGCTTAATTTTATAAAAAATTCATGATTTTTCTACATTTAGTTTTGACAGACAATCTTGGATTTTATAAGGATCGGGAATTTTACGTTTGACTGAAGACTATATTTTTAAACAAAATTGCGTATTACTTTCACAAAAGGTAAAATTGACTTGTGTAACTAAATATGATGAACTTAAGTAGCTTAAATATTGAATTTTACCTCATGACAAAAAATTTGACCATTTTTTGTAATATTAAAGTAGAATATCACAATACATAAATCTAAATTTAAAATATACTGCTATCGCTTTGTTTATATCTGTTTGCTTCTAGTTTCGGCGATTTAAGAAAGATTCCTTACATCTATAGGCATTTCTTGCATTTATTATTTGTTAATAAAGTGTTTTTATGTTGATTATTCAAATTTAATACACTTTCAGGATTATTGAGTTTATAACCTGTTCATGTTGTGAAAATTAGGATAATTTTGTCCAATAAAGTGCTAAAAAAGATATTTAATAAAGGCTGTTTTTCAAAGACTCCATCGTAATATGAAATGATGTTTTTTCACAAATAATATAATATTTTTATAACTGCTGTAAGTTTGCAACTGTTACTCATGACTGTTAGATCAAGTTTAGCCTATCTAAAGCCAGAATACGCTTATTTTGCAAATGGCTCAAAACGTCAATATTGAGAAAAGCCACGGTTTTGTGAAAATCAAAAGCGTTTCTGGTCTAAATTTTTAGTATTTAAAAACTTACCCAACGTTGCATTACTTGTTCTCATAAAACTTTGCAAAAACTGAAAATAAGGCAGGAATTTTGATAAATTTCATCTAGGAGGAAAAATGCCGCCAAATTGATGATTTTTAAAAACCTTTAATAACTTTGAAACTATTTAAGTTATTTGTCTGTTCCAAAACCCAGATAATTCTACAATGTAAGATTATATACAAATTTAAAATCATCGTATTGATTCAAGTGTTAGGCACTTTAACTATGGTTTTTTCAATTTTCCTTGGCGACAGAACTTCGAAAAACAGCGTTTAAATACTAAGCCTTATCATCTCAGTTGGATTCAAAAATATGTTTATATGGTTATGAGAATAATTTCAGATTATTAAAATAATAAATCACGGTTACTTAAGTTCTACAAATCCACTACTTGGATCAGACCCCCGATGCCTATATTTTATTTTATAGCCATGCTCTGAAGAGTTAACCCATTTTGAATTTACGGCATTCAAAGTACCGTTCCATTTTGAACCCAACGAAGAAGACATGGGAGCTCCTGGATCGAGCATTAGAGCAAAGTAGCCTTCGTGGAGGTTTTTTTTTTTTTTTTTTTAAATGGACCTAACCCTTATTTGCCTTGCA